GGTTTTGAACACCCTAGTTTCCAGTGTATGGAATAGGAGATGTTGACGTATCCATTAAAGGTATGCCGAATTTTTTTCCTGCGGTAGTTACATGTTCGATTTTACTATAAATAAAGTTGATGTTTATTGCTTTATGTATCATAATATCTATTATAATTTGAAGCACTAACAATTTATTTTTTGTTTGTATTATTGATTCACAGTTTAACATTTACTGTTCTGATGAATGGAAGCTGTCATTGGTGGGAACACTCAACAATATTGGACAGTTTGTTGGAATTCCAATTGGAGGATATATTTCAGACCGGTAAGTAAAGATATTTCGTCATCTTGTTATAGTTTTTTTAACCTTGAAACCTTATATTAATTTGGAATATGCATTATTTAATGTAAAAAATGTTAATATACTTTAATCGTATCTCTTTGAAACTCAACAATAAAATAAATACACTTAAGTATATAGATTAATTTACACCTAAGTCTGTTTTTACACGGTAGAATGGTTCCAGAAGAAGCCGTGTAAAAAAAATCGTGTAAAAAGGGAATTCCCCTAAATAAGTGATATTCACATTTGCTTTGACCAGTAAAAATTGTTTGTACGCGCTAAAGTGAAGTGATGGTTTCAGACTTTTTTCTTTCATTAATACTTTTTTGTGATATGAACATACATCGCAAAAATTAAATTTGAATTTAAGTACATAAAATTTCAAATCGTGCTAAATGAAATAAAATCGTGTAAAAAAATTAAAAATACTCAGTTTAAAAAAAAAAAACTGTGTACAAAAAGACCGTGTAAAAACAGACTTAGGTGTATACTTATTGTTATCTAAATGGTCTACAAAACATTGCAACCCAATAGGGTTATGCCTTTTTACTCAAGCACGACTAAAAATAGTAGAAATGAATGAGTTTTTCATTTTAGATATTTTATTTTGAACTTTTACAAATAAAGACAAAAGGTCATTTTTAAAGTCATACATTTGAATAATATAGTAACGGAATTAGATTAAAAATTGCAACGCCTCATCATAACATACTGGACCGACAAAGTTATTATTTTTTACAATGAATTTAAAAAATTCGTAATTTGAATTAATTTTTGCAATTTGAATCAAAAAATATTTAGATTTTAAACATCTTTGTCGGTAACACCGATTAACATTTAACCTAGTTTTATTTTTCTTTAAATTAATTTTTTTTTTTTGAAATCTATATCACGTTTTGTTCTCATCTTAGTTATGGTCGTCGCACTGCTTTGGCCTTTGGCGGATTTGTAGCAGCAATTTTGGGAATTATTCGTTCTTTTGCCACATCGTACACATTTTTTGTGATATTCGAATTTCTGGACAGTTTAGCATCCAGTCCATTGTATTCCGTTTGCTTTATAGTGGGCATTGAATTGGTTGGCCCAAAACGACGCGTCCTAGCATGTAGTTTAGTTACAATATTCTATGCCATCGGTGAAATGCTTTTGGCTATATTTGCAAAATATTACCAAGACTGGAGGATACTTCTGCGCATTATGTATATACCAGCGCTGGTATTATTTGTATACTTCTGGATATTGCCGGAAAGCGTTCGCTGGCTATTGAGTCAGAGGAGAGAGGAGGAAGCCAAAGATATATTGAAACGTGCTGCCAGAGTTAACAAGCGTAAACTATCCGATCACTCATTGGACAAACTGATTTTGGCAAATCGTGAAAAACTGGCCAATTCGACCGAGGGGAAATTTCCCATAAAACTGGCTTTTACAACTTTGTTCTGGCGCATTGCCAATTGTTCGTTCTGTTGGATAATCAATGTGCTGGTTTACTATGGCCTCAGTTTAAATGCCGTTCTCTTGGATGGCGATAAATACAACAATTTCGTGTTTATAGCCATGGTCGAAATACCTGGTTTTCTATTGCCACTGGTTATAATGGATCGATTTGGTAGAAGGCGTTCTTTGTTTGGTTGTATGTTCATTAGCGGCTTATGCTGTTTGTCAACAATATTTATGCCCAAAGGTAATTTTGTTGCTAATGATTGGAATATTAAATTTATATCGTACTAACAAAATATTGATTTACATTTTTAGAAGCGGCAATGGGTCAACTGATTTTATTCCTCATTGGAAAATTAACTATCACCGCCAGTTTCCAAGTATTATACTTTTTCACATCGGAAATATTTCCCACGAATTTGCGCAACAGCCTGTTGTCGTTTTGTTCAATGATGGGTCGATTTGGTTCAATGGTGGCCCCACAAACGCCTCTTTTGGTATGAAGAAAATGCTATTTTTGTTTTCTCCTATATATATATATATATATATATTTAATGTTTTTATCTCCTATTTTAGGCAAAGTATTACGAAAATGCTCCTGCGATACTTTTTGCAACAACAGCTATATTAAGCGCATGCTTATCTTTGCTGTTCCCTGAAACGACGAATTTAATTTTACCAGCTACTATGGAGGATGCGGATAAAATAGGAAACTCAAAAGAAAAAGAAGCTCAGGCTAATGAAGAGCAAAATACCCATTTATAAATTAAAGGTAATAAAATAGTATAAAATCTGCAGGATATTCTTCAAATATAATGATGATTCTTAAAAACGAAAATTTCTCAAACAAATATTATGAAGCATTTTTTAATTTCCACGATTTTGTTATGGGGCTATGAAAAATTTCATTTCATTTATTTTTTTATACCCTTCACCACACTGTGGTACAGGGTATTATGTCTTTGTGCATATGTTTGTAACAGGCAAAAGGAAACGAGATAGACACATGGTTCCTTTTGGGAATATGCATAGAATCACTCTCTGAGTCGATTTATGTATGTCCGTCCGTCCGTCTGTAGATGTTAAATTGTAAACAAAGTACAGGTCGCATTTATGATCCGATTTGGATGAAATTTGGCACAAGTCACTTATTTGGCCCAAGGACGAACCCTATTGAAATTGGAAAAAATCGGTTCAGATTTAGATATAGCTCCCATATATATTTTCGTCCGATTTAATGTAAACGGTCCCTATATATCTTTCGATTTGCACGAAATTTGACACAGCGTAATGAATTAGGTCTAGAACGATGTGTGTAAAATTTCATAAAAATCGGTTCAGATTTAGATATAGCTCCCATATATATTTTCGTCCGATTTGAGGTAAATGGGCACCAAAGTCCCTCTATATCTTTGGATTTGCATGAAATTGGGCATAGAGTACTGAATTAGGTGTAGAACGATGTGTGCCAAGTTTCGAGAAAATCGGTTCAGATTTAGATATAGCTCCCACATATAGGTTCGTCCGATTTAAGGTAAATGGGGCACCAAAGTCCTTCTATATCCTTCGATTTGCATGAAATTTGGCACAGCGTACTGAATTAGGTACAGAATGATGTGAGCCAAGTTTCGAGAAAATCGGTTCAGATTTAGATATAGCTCCCATATATAGTTTCGTCCTTTTTAAGGTAAATGGTGCACCAAAGTCCCTATATATCTTTTGATTTGCATGAAATTTGGCACAGCGTACTGAATTAGATCCAGAATGATGTGTGCCAAGTTTCGAGAAAATCGGTTCAGATTTAGATATAGCTCCCATATATAGTTTCGTCCTTTTTAAGGTAAATGGTACACCAAAGTCCCTATATATCATTCGATTTGCACGAAATTTGGCATAGAGTACTGAATTAGGTCCAGAATGATGTGTGCCAAGTTTGGAGAAAATCTGTTCAGATTTAGATATAGCTCTCATATATAGTTTTTTTTTCCGATTCTATGTAAATGGTGCACCAAAGTTCCTATATACCTTTCGATTTGCATGCAATTTGGCACAGCGTATTGAATTAGGTCCAGAATGTTGTGTGCCAAGTTTCGAGAAAATCGGTTCCGATATAGATATAGCTCCCATATATAGTTGCGTCCTTTTTAAGGTAAATTGTGCACCAAAGTCCCTATATATCTTTCGATTTGCATGAAATTTGGCATAGAGTACTGAATTAGGTCCTGAATGATGTGTGCCCATATATAGTTTCGTCCTTTTTAAGGTAAATGGTGCACCAAAGTCCCTATATATCTTTCGATTTGCATGAAATTTGGCAGAGAGTAATGAATTAGGTGTGCTAAGTTTCGTGAAAATCGGTTCAGATTTAGATATAGCTCCCATATATAGTTTTTTCCGATTCTATGTAAATGCTGCACCAAAGTTCCTATATACCTTTCGATTTGCATGAAATTTCGCACAGCGTACTGAATTAAGTTTTGAATGATGTGTGCTAAGTTTCGGAAAAAATTGGTTCTGGTTTCGATATCGCTGCCACATATTCATATATATTCGTCCGATTTTACATAAATGGTGCACCAACCTTCTAATGTTTGTCCGATTAATACGATTTTTTGCACAACGTATCAAGTTGGAACTTGAATAACGTTATTGCGTTATGTTGAAATTGATGTAGATGCTGTCATAGCTTCCATATGTATTTTGAATGGATGTCTAAATGAAATTAAAATTTTAACAGTGCGGCGAGCGAATAGCATGTATTAATTTTGCTATAAGTCGCTTTTCATAAATTTGTCCCATGGTACGGAGTCGACTTTAAATCTGCCCGAATGAAATTAAATTTTGTCATAGGTTGCAGAAATACTTGCGTATGTTCCTTGGAGGGGATACATATGTACAATATACCCAAAGTGGTGAAGGGTATCATATAGTCGGCCCAGCCCGACTTTACTGCTTTCCTTACTGGTTTAAATTAGAAAAAGTATAATCAAGTATGTCAACACGATCATTGTGTACCCGTTTTTTTCACAGAATACACCTACATTTTGGGACAATGCAAGGATGTAAAGTCAGAAGCCATTCTGAATCGAGTTCGCATCCCTTCTGGAAATTCATCAAAAATACCAAATTACAGAAAATTCCATAAGAACATATTGTTAGAACCGCAGAATTACATAAAATGAAATATTAAATCAGGTGTGTAACAGGCTCCACTTTGGGCGCCAATGAAACAGCTCGCTGCACGTTGGGCGACAATTAGCAGCTCGTGAGCGGAGCTGATTTGGCTTCATCCGAAACAACAAGATTAACTTTTTACTCCTTCCTTATTTAGGAATTTATTTCAGCTTATGATCTAGTCCATCAACTTGGGCAAGCGTAGGTAATGATCTTAAGCCTTCAGTGTTCGCTAAACGAATTAGAGCCTGGTGGTCCAGGACTCGAAGTGTATCGATTTTATTGAAATTTGATTGAGCTTACTACTTATGAGAAGCAAGATCTTCGTCTAGTATTGGTTGTGTAATAATGTAGTAGATTCAGAGATGTAGTTTTTGGTACTATTTACAAAATATTTACATAGTAAACCGTTAATTTCAAATGTTTAAAACAGATTTGCATTTTAGTATTTAAATGATCAATAAAACGTGTGTGTTTATACTATAGTAATTAAAATATGAATAAGACTAGAGTTGATCCGCTTCAGGTGTTAATATCATATGCCTAATCGGTGATCAATATCCTTGAACTTGTAGAAAACAACACCAATACCAAAATGTGCGCATACCACATACAAAAGTTGCATCTATCGAAAAATGTGTACATCAGAGAAAAAACCCAGTAATGAAAGTAGAAAAGTCATACGTGGTCGAAAATATGATACCCTTCATATTTGAAAGACCATTAACATAAATTTGGATGAAAAAAATGTGTACTAACTCATCAATTGAGAACGGCTGGACAGATTTGACTCAAAATTTCTTTCAGTAAATCTTGCAAAAATTAATTTAAAGAAACGGCTGGACCGATTTGTCTTAAAATTTCTGATAGTAGTCTGTAATTGAAGTGGAAAGGTTGTAATGAAAGAACATTTTGAGGAAAATCCGCGAAAATTTTGCAAAATATATTTTGAAAGATATTAGCATTTCCACACGTTTTATATCGAAACTTTATGATTCCATCTCCTCGTAGTTCTTTTTGGATATATTTTGGGCGAAAATTGGCAGCGTATAATATCTTTAAGTAATTGTCAATTATGGAAAATTCTAAAAATATGTTAATTTTCTACAATCAATTGGATTGTCATTGCCTTGAAAAAACTATTGTATGTGAAAATAAATTTACATATATTTTCATAAAAGTTAAATTTAATAATAAGTAACAGAAAAGAGAAAGTAATATTAATCCCTACCTAAATTTGCTCACGTTTTGCATAAAATCCAGATTTATTTAGTTTGAAAATATAAGTTTTATGAAGCAATATTATTGAACATATTCTTTTATTAGGGAAAAATACATTTAAATTCGAATCCTACATAGAAGCAATTCCGCATTATATGCTGTTTGTGTCTAACTTATATGTGCCTTTATGGTTCCTCAAATGTATTTTTAAAGATGTGAAAAATGTTTACATGGTGTATTGACTGGTCCGATTTCACTCACGTTTTCTTTCGGCTGTTTGTAATTGCATTGGGAAGGTTTTTACAAAGAAAATGTTGAGAAAAACATTAAAAAGTCGGGAAATTGGAATAATCGAACATTGTTGGTCTGTTCCCGTACTGCAAGAATCTACTTGTTTTTACTACGATAACGAATTTTCCTTTATGATATCGAAGAAAATAGTAAAATCGAGTAGATTCTTGCAGTACGGGAACAGACCATGTGTTATTTACATCGTTTATAACTCAAGAACGTCTGCACCGATTTTGACGATTCAAAGGACTTATAAATCGTATGTGGTCAGAATAGGGAAATATGCAAACTAATTGTGAGATTCCGCCAAAACAAATATATAAAGTAATATTTACAATTCCCAAATTTTTGTATCGTGCTTTAATATTTAAATAAATTCTTGTTTTTTAAGACATATGGTTTTTTGAGTTAGTTAGATCAAAACTTCTAATTTTATAAAATATGCGTATGTCCTAATACTAATAATGCGATCATTAACATTGACGAAAATAATGGTAATGTATACGGCATCAACATTGCCCAAACTTTCCCCTTTATCTGTCAATATAAAAATCAAAAGGGTTGTTGGACATGAACAAAATGATATTGTTATTAAGAATCTTTCAACAAGGGACAAATAAGATAATGTAAAAACGTTGGAGCAAAAACAAAACATAATCTTCTATTGAAAATAAAAAAACATTTCTACCAAATAATAAACTGTTATGTGCTTGGGCCTGCTTTTTATTGGCATAAACTTAGTGGCAAATGTTTTTACCAACCTTATATTGATGCAATATTGATAAGGCAAAATAACGTTTGCCGGGTCAGCTAGTAAAATATATAAATGTAAACTGACTTAGATCAATCTATAAACATGTCATTCTACAACCTATACTAAATTTCGATTTCAAGCTAATATGAATCGGACACCCGTTGATTATTTGGAATCCAATTAATATGAAGTCGGGCGAAAAAATATATGGGCATTTCTACATATAGCAAATACCATATTGTGACAAACATGAGGAGCTTGATGCATCATTTACTTAAAATCGGATGAAAGTATAAATGGAAGCTACCATAAACTGAACCGATTTCAACGAAAATGTTCGCAGGTTAGGTTATACTAATGTCAGTACTTTCTGTGCCTATTTTGTGTCATTGGTGCATCATTTAGTTATAATCGGACACAAATATATGTGGGAGCTATATCCAAATCTAAATCGATTTCAACAAAACTTTCCACATATTATGTTATAGTAACTACAGTACGTTGTGCAAAATTTTCTGGCAATCGGCCTAACATTGGGTCTTTGGTGCACAATTTACTTAAAATTGGACGAAACTCTTTATGGGAGCTATAACTAAATCCCAACCGATTTTCCCATTTTCAGTAAGGGTTCGTCCTTAGGCCAGATAAATGAACTGTGCCCAATTTCATCCAATTCGGATTATAAATGCGATACGAACTCTGTTTACAATTTAAGGTGGAAGGACACACATGGAAGGAAATACATAAATCGACTCACAAAGTGATTCTATGCATTTTATCAAAGGAACCATGTTTCTATCTCGTTTTCTTTTGCCTGTTACAAACATATGCACAAAGACATAATACCCTGTATCGCAGTGTGGTGAAGAGTATAAATATACGATGATATTGGCGAAACATGAAAGGAAACATTCCTCTGGCAAAAATCGATTATTAAGCTGAATACTATAAACAAACAATTTCAATTGGTCGGCGGGACCAAAGTTTTTATACCCTCCATCATGATGTGGACATTTAAAATACCAATTATCTTCTGTAATGCTGAATAATGGAGTTACCGTTATATGGGAGCTATCCTGAAAGGTGGACCAGTATTGATAATTTTTAATAGAAACATTTGATAATATAATATATAATAGCCAATTTGGATGAAAATTTTAAAATATATCCTAAAAAGTGGATCGATATTGATCATTTTTGGAAAGGAGATTTGTTACGAAATGGTAAGTCGAAGTACAAAATGATGTCATCTATTCTTGGCCGAATTAATAGTAAGTTTTAAAACCAATGCGAAAAATCTTAAAAAAAACTTTTAAAATATACGTTATAGTTGTGCCATTTTTAGTATGATGTTGTTGTTTCTTTTTTGGATTTTATATCAGTGCAAAATTTGTAGATTTTAATAAGGGGTAAAACATTGCTGAAGCGCGAAAATTAATATTTCGAGCAGTTCTCGTGATAAGCAGTACGTTTTATTTGGAAATTCATCCCAAATTGAAACAATTAAAATCGGGTTTAAACTTTTCTAACAATTCAAAACCCCGCAGGGGTTTTCTTTTACCATAATAAACTTAAGCAAATTTTGGCGGTACCGATTGGTATATTATTTTTGGGTTAAAAAATGGGGGCCCTTAAGAGAAAACTCATATTATGATAGGACCGTTACATGGGGCTATAATGAAACGTAGATCAATATAGAACATGTGTCCGAACTTCCAAAATACTGAATATTGGCGGGTGCCGTTATATGGGGCTGCCCCAAAACGATTATATATATTTTCTTACTGAAAACAATGCTATATTGTAATTTATTTATAAATATTATTTGTATTATTATTAGTAGTATTTTATTCGTTGGAAAAAATATTGAAATAATACAAATGGTTTAAAAATAAATTTTATGGAGGAGGATGTGATACAGCTGTGAACTTTTGAATTGTTGCGCAATTTAAAAACAAACAACAAATGGCAAAAATTGCATTCTTGTGTTCAATTAGTTTAAATTCTGAGATGAAGTTCAGTTTAATGTCTTTGTGATAACATTTCTCGGGACCTTCAACATTTCTATTATATGTCAAATTTTTTTAAATCAATAAATAATAACCGATATGATAAGAGTGATTTTTTTATATAAAAGCCCTGAAATTGGCATTACCTATTAGCAATCGTCAAATATTGCATAGTCGGAAGGAACGGTGCTGAGTATGAAATTTGCAATAGCGTTATTAGCCTGTCTGGGCTTAGCGGTGGCGGCCTCGATTCTACCACAAGTCAAAGTTGCTGACAAGGATTTTTTGGAAAAACAAAAGTTTCTACTTGAAATTGTTTATCGTGTGACGGATCCTTTGATGTTTGACGAATGGATTAAATTGGGCAACACATTTGTTACTGACAGATCCTATTATAGCGTAAGTAAAATTTATAAAACTACAACAAATGACTCGTAGGAAAGTAGAATGTTATTCTTTTTTTGAAACGTTTTAGCACTATGATGAGTATATGGAAAAATTCTGGGAGTCCTTTAAACTGGGAACAATTTTGCCCAGAGGAGAATTTTTTGGTGCTCTTGTTGCCACACACCATCAACAAGCATGGGGACTCTTCAATTTCTTCTACTTCGCCAAGGATTGGGAAACATTCAGGCAAAATGTTTGCTGGGCTCGTATGCATATTAATGAAGGCATGTTTGTGTATGCCCTTAGCATGGCGGTTATTCATCGGGAGGACTTCAATGGCTTGGTTTTACCGGCCATCTATGAAATCTTCCCACAACACTTCTTTAACAGTGATCTTATTCATAAGGCTGAGAAATTCGACTACAATGTTTGGAAAAAACTAACCATGTACGAACATGAATATAAGGAACATTTCGGTGGCATGCAGATGATGTACAATCACAGCTATTATCACGACAATGAATACATGAAGGTGTGGCAATGGTGGAAGCAAATGGGTCTAAAGAAAAACCATTGGTATGCTGAAGAGAACTTTATGCTACGTGAAAATATAAAAGAGTTTAACCAGGACGACAAATGGAATAGCCTGTTGAAGGATACACAAATGTGGTGGATGCCCGTCGATTATACTCGTGATATTGAGTTCTACAATCGAGAATCTGCTCTCTCGTATCTTACTGAGGATTTGGGCTGGATGTCATTCTGGTATTATTTGAATATGGATCAAGCCTTCTTCTTGGATTCAGACACCTTTGGTTCGAATGGTCGTCGCGGAGAGTTCTGGCTTTATGCCGTCCACAAGGTTATGTCTCGTTACTACATGGAACGTTTATCTCATGGCTTCGGCGAAATTCCTGAATTTTACTGGTTGCAACAAATTGAGCACGGCTATAAACCTCAATTGGTGGCCTACAATGGAATTGGTTTCAGCTACCGGCCCAACTATTACGATTTCAAAACCTATACAAACCTCGATATGTTCAACAAAATCCAAAACGCTTTCCAACGCATCTATGACATAATCGACATGGGTTACTACCGAATGCACGATGGTCAAATTATTGATTTACGTCATGAAAATGCCTTGGAGCATATCAGTAACTTGGTACAGGGTAATATCGATGTTTTCGATAAGTACTTCTTCAATTACTACTACATGCTCAGCCATATGTTCATCTCCCAGGTTGGCCGACATGATGTTGAAGTTAGTCCTAGTGTAATGCTCAATTTTGAGACCATGGTTCGAGATCCCTATTTCTATATTTTCCATAAGAAAATCGCCGATGCCTTTTTACGTTTCAAAGGCCATTTGAAGCCATACTCGAAGAATGAACTTCTGTTTACGGGAGTTGAAATCGAGGAAGTCCAGATAACTGAATTGGTTACATATTTCGATTTGGTGGACTTTGATGTGACCACTTTGTTAAATGACAAAATGATTTTCCATGATGGAAAATTGGTATGGAATAAAGCATTGCTGGCTAGACAAATGCGTCTAAATCACAAACCCTTCCGCTTCGATTTGTCAATTTCATCGGACAAAAAACAACAGGCGTTACTCCGAGTATTCCTTGCCCCAAAATATGATGAAAACGGACAACTCCTTGCCATGGACGAGAACCGTGAAAATTTTCTAACATTGGGCAAATTCGCTATTGATTTGATACCTGGCAAGAATAAAATTAGCTACAGTTCCGATGATTTCTATTGGACTCAAAAGGATCGTTCAACCTATACTGAACTGTATCACTATGTGATGATGGCTATGGAAGGCAACTACGAGTTTCCATTGAATACTAGGGAATCCTATTGTTTGTTCCCAGATCGTTTGATTTTGCCCCGAGGTTGGACGCAGGGTATGCCAATGAGAATGTTCTTTATGGTAACACCCTACGAAATTACCAAAGTGGAAAATTCTTCCCATATAACCTCGTATTCATGTGGTTTTGGTTACGGTGGACGTTTTACTGACGATAAACCCTTGTTTTATCCATTCGACCGTGAAATTTCTATGAGCGAGTTCGATGTACCCAATATGTATTTCAAGGATGTGAAAATCTATCATGAGGACAAATTTGAAAAGTACAGCGAATCACAGCATCAGATGGATGGAAAATTCGATTACACATTTTTAAATAATTACTACAAGAATTAGGATTTAAAAATGTTTTTAAATTATAGTTACTACGAAATTAAAAAATATGTGCTTGCAATAAAATTATGTTGGTAAGATATTATTCTTGATCTGAGTAAAATTGAAGAATTTAAATTAGTGATAACGGCTTCCAATTTTTGCAAACTTTCGGATTAACTTTTGGGTATACGTATTTTGAAACCAAATTGGGTGTTGTCTATTTTCTGTTTGTTTTTGATATTTAAAAATATGTTTCCTAAAACTGGTTGCTATTTACTGTTTCTGTTTTTGGGGCGTTTTTGTTCAAGAAATCGAAAGTTTTAGCCCCAATTAAAAAAAACTTTACTTTCATGTATGTTTGGGTAACAAAGTTTCTTAATTCTACTATTACTTTTCGACAATCCACCTCCTGGTGGAGAGTATAACATTGTTTTCATTCCGATTGCAATACCTAAAGATATTCTTGATCAGAATAGAATTCTGGCCATATTAGCAATGCTTGTTTATCTAAATTAAGAAAATCATTTCCCATTTTCGTGACTTTAATTTTGTATTTAGGTTCCACAAATTTTCGCTATTTTTGGCGATTTTTTCCATTCTCGGTATTTGAAGCACACACTCGAACCGGAGTGTGTGCAATTGGTATCATAGAAAATGTCCGCCCCAAATTTCCCCTTAAAAGTGCCCAAAATCAACAAATTATGCCCAATAATTCTGGAACTGAAAAGTTTACCCTGACGTTATATATTAAATGTGAGGGTATTTTACCTTAATTTTCAATTTTGAAGCATGAAGATGTTGGAAAAAATAAAAAAATATGTTGAGTTCGAACACAGAAATAACAATAACAAAGCGCCCACGGGCGCCTGTTTGGTGAACGCTGTTTTAGTATCCTCCTTCGATAAGAACAGGGTGTCCACGTATGTAAAAGCATTGCCATCATGGGTTTACCAAATGTTACCATTGTGATGTGTTATTAAGGGTTCGTGTTCTTACTAAAGGGTATGTACGTACAGTGCCATCTACATTTGATTCATAATTAGCATATGACATGAAAAATGACTTCCAGTGCTGTTCAAACTGATTTCATCTAATTATTCAAATATTATTTTGTTATATAGTTTGATTGTCTGTTGATTAAATTTAAAAAATACAAAAATAATCAGTGTTGCCGTTTGAAAAAATTCCACCTAAAAAGTGATCAAAATCATCAAACAATTTATGCCCAAAAATTCGAGATTGAAGAAGTATACTCTGATATTATATATTAAAAGAGAGGGGTTTTTTCTCTAAATTTTTTAAATGCCGAAAAGTTAAAAAATAACAAAAAATAGTTTTTATATAATAAAATATTTTGTAAATAAGAATTTGTACTAATTTGTATATCCTCACCAATATGACTTATTGAGGGTACGTACACCTTGTCACATCAATATGTCCCACATCGAAAGATTAGTTTTAGAATCTATTTACAAATGTTCGTCCGTCTGTCTGGTTGGCTGTTGCGCACGATAAATTTCGAAGGATGATTTCATCTAAGCTCACATTGTAATGTTTCTTTCAAACATAAATCAAGTTCGGAGTTGAGGGAAATCTAAGGCATGCAGATTTCGGTAATGAAAGTAGATGGCATCAAGAAAAAATTAAACAATTTATTTTAAAATATATGATGTTAAGAATAAAACTAAACAGTTTAATTGGATTCAAAATGTTTTACGTATTATACAGAAAAAATGTATTGCTCTAATCTAATTGATAGATGGCATCAGTTTATAGATAGGCAGGTAACATATATGATTGTCTTCCAAAAATTAGGACACCACCTTAGGAATATCGAACCAATCAGCATAAAGTCTCCACAAAATGGTTAATATGTTGCTGGCAATTAATTTTATAATGTAATTCTAACCAAGCCTGCATAATATTGGGAATGAGAGTTATCACTCCACTTATCCTAGTACCTACCCAAGAAAGGGCCAATATTTTGAAATTTTGTAGATTTCATATGAAGCGAAAGGAATATCCGATTTCATCAAAACTTTGCACATCGTAATATTTTTACAAAGCCTAGATCAAGTTCGATGGGACCTAACGGTATATTTCTTCTGGTACCTCACCCACAAAGAGTCAACATTAAGACTTTATTTCTTTAAAAATATATTTAGGACAATTATCGACTATATAGGTCCCCCATCTGTTGTACCTCCCCCACAAACAGTCACAAATTTGCTAAATAATAAATTTAATCCAAAAAACTTAGACCTACTCAAACCATAGGTCTACGGCAAACACCGTTTAATTTGTATATGAATAACCTAAAAATAAATAAATTAAAAGGTCAACCACTCCTCTTAAATAAACTGTCCTTCCCCGGTTCCTTTTTCGGAAATAAATTTTGCCTTTTCTCATACAAAAGTCTTTCTCCATATGATCCGCCAAATATTGGCCGATATTCATCAGATCATCCATGCTTTTTTCCATTGCAGATCCCCTTCCCCGTGTAAAATTTAGTCTTGTTTGGGTCATAATAGTGATCTCTACACCGACCAGAAAAATAGACAAAAATAATGTTTTTGATCCAAATATTAACTGATCATTATCCTAACCTATACATGGAAGACTACATGATTGGTCCATAACTACAATTTATAATGGACAGGCGGGTGCACAAACATGTCTAGATTGGCTCAGCTGGTTAAGATTACTAATAGGTTTACTACAAGGTGGGTCTAGGGACAATATTTCGCGGTTTTACAAACACGTGGGCTTATAATATACATCACAACATATTTTTCAGGGTAAACAAATATCAATCTTTATTAAAAGAAATATAAACAATTGGCCTGTTCCCGTATTGCAAGAATCTACTATTTTTTACTACGTTAACAAATTTTTCTTTATGATATCGAAGAAAATAGTTGAATCTAGTAGATTCTTGCAGTACGGGAACAGACCAAATATTGATATGACCGAAGCAAAAAATGCCCAAAATCCGCCAAAGCCATACATTTTACAAATTGTATGCCCACTTTCGGCAACACTGAAAATAATTCCTATATTACCAGATCGAAATTAAGAGTAAAACTAAATGATTTATGATTATTGTTTATTTTATTATTATTGTATTATAGTTCCGTTATTCTGTTCGTTACATGGGCAATTTCAAAGTTGAAATTTTCAAACCACAATAAAGGTGGGTAGCATTTATAAAAAATAAAATTTGATACATTTAATTTTTTGACCCATGGATAAAGTTTATTGAAGCCGACGGGAATTGGTTCAGATTTTGTATATCCTATATACAATTTCGTCAGATTTCATGTAAATGATGAACAGTGTTACGCTTGTATGAACCGAATTTCACACGCTTGGCGGAATTAGATGATTTGTTGGCTTTATGCATTATTCATACTCCAATGTTATGTCTCATTTTCCACGTGCCGATTTCTTAATACGCATGTTCTTAACAAGAACATACGTATTCCGAATCCAAAGGATTCGCAATAATTAGTAGACCACAAAAACATTTTTTATAGAAATAACACAAAAATAACGATTTTTTGTCTTCATTTAGCGCGGCATTCGGGTCATAAATGCGTACAAGTCGCTCACAAAAATACATGGACGGAGGGACAGACATGCATAAATCGACTCAGAAAAGGACAGACATGCATAAATCGACTCAAAAATGATTCTATTCATATTCTCAAAAGGAACCATTTGTCTATCTCGATTCCTTTTTGCCTGTTACAAACATATGCACAAAGACATAATACTCTGTACCACAGTGTGGTGAAGGGTATAAAAAAGAAGTCGATGATTTTGATGGTGACTTACTGTATATATTTAAAAAAAAAATTGAGGACTTAACAAAAAAAAAAAAAAGCGAGGAGTATGTTAAAAAAACGGTCTGTATTGTTGTATAAGACCAGTAGTGTTGGCGGTTCATTTGGGATACCATTTGTATTTTGTTTTTGCAAAATAGTCAGGCTGAATCCCAGTTTGTTGTTTTTATAAAAAACAACTATTTATTAGTAGGGAATGTATGTCATTGTTTGCCGAGGGGTAAGGCAGGGAAGACTATAGTTTCTCATCAGTTCCCTTGGTTTTTTGTTGGGATATTCTCCCCAGAAGCTATTGCTTCTCTTGTAACAAAGCGAAGTACTTAGCTGACCAAAGACATAAACTGCATGAGAATTTCGCTGGAGCCTCACTTCGAGGTTAACAATAAATAGTTGTTTTTTATAAAAACAACAAACTGGGATTCAGCCTGACTATTTTGCAAAAACAAAATACAAATGGTATCCCAAATAAACCGCCAACACTACTGAAGTTGTAGACGCAGGCACGCACTGTGGGCGAAATGGACGATCTAGCGTCGTTTAATTCAATTTTCAAAGTGTTTAATTGGGCTAAAATTGTGTCTCAATCGATTACTACTATCCCACTGATCTAATATATCGATTCTATTCTGATTGATATGATCTAGTTGAACAGCTGTGAGCTGTCAAACACAACATTTGTTTCAGCCTATGTATAACTAAGCTTCAACACGTGTTTTCTTTGCATTGCCAAATTTTCTCTAAAGTAGCATTTGTCTCAATTAAGTGAATGAACAGTTGATTTATTTATTGTTAGAGGTATGTATTAACTAAAAAAAATTTTGTTTGTGACCTGTGCTTAAGTGTTGTAGAAAAAATGTAGTTCAAGTGTACTATACCACTCATCTGCTTGAAAAATATCCAAAGTAAGACTTCCGTAGACCGGAACTTCTGATATTCGTATGTATTCGCGCTAGATTGTGTTTTTTTAAATTACTATGTCATATTGTGATTGTAAAATGCCCAAATGATCTGCAGCCACCTGCAACTTTACATGATATTGCATTTTTTAGGAAAAATATCCATGCTCAGACGAGAAGTTTGTTTACTATGGCGCAACGAGCCTGTGCGTACTAAAACAATTTCTGTTATTGAAACTCATATATTTAATAATATTATTAATATCAACATGTGCGATGC